TTTCCCACTTTATGTAAATGCCCATCAGTCTGCTTTTCAATACATAAATCAATTACTATAATGACTTATTAGAACCCCAGCTTCTAAGTACACATTTATTTTAGTTGGTTTTATAATCATATCACAGGACCAGCAGTTGACTTAGGAACTCATAGGATCTTTGCTACTCCCTCCAAGGACTGTCCCCAGCTTGAAGCCTAAAGAACATCATTTAAAGAAAACAACAGAAACCAACCCTGAGAATTACCCTCCCTTCTTATTGTCTCTAGATAAAAATCTTAAATAATGACACATATTCGATCTTTAAAGCATCATATAGGTGAAATAAACGTCACTGAAAATTTATACAATATCCAGACAGGATTCTTCACTGTATTACAGGGAGGAATTAGACACGGAAAATTCACTAATTTCTAACATCTAGAGAGTGGAACTCATGACCAAAACATTAGCCATCATTCAAACACTTGGGAGGCAGAGACAGGCCGATCTCTGTGAGTTCAAATGAGTGTGGTCTACAGAGGGAGTTTCAGAACAGGCTCTAAATCTACAGAGAAACCTTGTCTTGAAAATCAAAACAAAACAAAAAATCCCAAAACAAAACCAAAACAAACAAAATCTAAGAATTAACTTTAAAAATTTGCATTAAAAAGAGACAAACAGTCAGGTGGTGGTGGCATACGCTTTTAATCTCAGTACTGAGGAGGTAGAGGCAGGCGGATCTCTGTGAGTTTGGGGCCACCCTGGTCTATAAGAGCTAAATCCAGGACAGGTTCCAAGGCTACAGATAAACCCAGTCTGGGGGGGGGCCGGGGGGGCGTTTGAAGTGATGAGTCTTGGTGACTTGGGTGACTATTAGCTAATGGCAGCCCCTCTGGTGACTTGGGCAACTGCTAGCTACCAGGCAGCCTCTCTATTAACTTGGGTGACTATTGGCTAATGGGTAGCCCAATGTACTCTGGAAACCCCTTCTAGGTGAGAGAGACAGGGAAGGATGCAATGAAGGAGCCCACCAAAACCTGAGTGGAAGCCTCGGTTTCTTTCACTCTTATTTCAGCCAGCAAGCACCAGGCATCCACTCAGTGCTTGACACTGTACCTGGTGTGCTACGGAATACAAAGGAACTCTGCCTGACCTTGAGAAACAACACAGCCCAGGGAAAAGCACAGAGGGGAAAAAGAAAAGGAGACATTGCCAAGGGTTCTGGCCTAGCCGATGGACGACTAAACAAACAGAGCCCTCTTACTTTCCAGTGGCGCAATGGGCTTACACCATGTGAGCCATCCGGTGACAGTCTGAAAACAAACTGTGATACCAGATAAAATACTGTGAAGCTTTCAAAAAGTCTCAGTGTGATAATATAACAACGTTTTAGTAGTGGGATAATCAGGAAATTAAAGTATAGAACATGCAGCATAGTGAAGATTTTTCAAAGTTAATTCAGTCCAAGGATGATTCTGAGATTGTTTTTATAGATGCTTCTCAACATGAGCTCCAGACCACGCAAGAGTAGAAAATGAGAGTTTACACCAGAAGCCACCATGAAAATGTGCCAGTCACAAGGCTCGGCCTTCTGTGATCTCTCATAAATATGCAGCAATCTGAAAAGATAGGTCCTACTATTATCCCCACTCTACTGACAGAAACATAGAGGCAGAAGACTATACACAAATTGCCTGATTCACATGGCTAGTTAGCAACAGACACAGAATTCAAACTCAGAGCCCGCACAGTTAACTACAACATATATATCCTCTGTATCACTGCAGTTTTGAAGTTCATTGTGAATCAAGAATTAAAACATGCCTTTCTTGTAAAAAAAAAATGTTTTTTGGAGATTTGTAAGGCTTTGGTAAGGGAGCAATGAAAATGTCCCTATTTTCCTTTCCCAGACTTCCCCTTCTGCCACACTTAGGCTATGCTTCAAATCTCAACAAGAAACATGAACCCAAACCCAGAGAATGGCCTACACAGAGTCTATACTACACCAGTCCAGATGTCTGGAGCCAGCTTTTACACAGCCAACTGATTGAAATGATGAAAACGTGCCAACTATTAAATAATAGACATCACAGTTACATGAGGTACCAGATCACTTGAAATTTACAGCGTCCTAATAAGTGAAGTGAAAAGATTGAAATATTAGACTTTCGATGCACACTTATTAGCTTTATTATACTTCCTAAGAAGAAAATTAAATAGAACCATTAGGCAGTTTTGTTACCAATGAGTGGATTTTCCAATATTTTCTTCATCTAGTTTATGTAGCATAGCCTCTAATGTAATCATTTTATTTCTGGAAAAAAAATCCACAATTTTTATAGTAAACACTATTAAGGTAAACTTGATGTAAGAGAAAGGCAATCACAACACGTCAAACAGTGTTCCTTAAAGGCTTTGGTAAACTGAATGCTCCGTTCTTGATGACTGGGGTGTTATTCTGTGGTGGACTGAAAGCCAGGGTTACAAGGACACTGCACACTGAAGCCCAGAAATGAAGGGCAGTCATGGGCCACAGTGGCTTTGGTGTGGATATCATCACATTCTTTCCCTTCAAGAACTAGATATGAACCAACTGCAGGGACAGACACCTGTATTCAGGAAGCTGAGTCAAAAGGCTCCTTGAACCAAGGAACTCAAGACCAGGTTGGGCAATGTGGCAAGATCCAGTCTCAAAACAAAATATACAAGTAACAGAATTGTGTAGGCAATAGGACACGTGAACTTTTTTTAAAATGAGAAATGTACTAATTAAAAGAAGTACTCCATCATGATGACACACCATTTACCTTCCCGAAGCAACTGCAGTCCAAACAGTAACCCTGTGAGACTCAGTGAGCGTGGATGAGGGCAGCTAGGTGAACCCTTGGGAGAAGCTGATAACGGCATCTGCATTTCAACAACCACAAGAACCTGTGATACAGACTTCTGAAACGTCCAAGGGACACGTCAGTCCCAGTGAAAGGCTTTCTAGCCCAGCTCTGTGGCTAGACCCCAGTGTGAGGCATATTCAGTGGGAAAATTCTCCAAGAGAGTTCTGAGGACAGTGGGGACTGATGGCAGCTTCTGAGCGGGAATGTACCTAATGCCACCAAACCACACATTAAAGATGCTTACAATCCAAGGTATGCTGGAGCATGCTCTTCGTCCCAGCACTCCGAAGACGGAAGCAGGAGGATCTCTGTGAGTTCCAGGCCATCCTGGTCTATATAAAAAGTTCCAAGCCAGCCAGAGCTACACAGAGAGACCATGTGTCAGGGGGGGAAAAAAAAGCATCAAAATTTGTATAAAATGGTTATGATGATGTTAAATTTTATATTTAAACATGATTAAAATACTTTTGAAACAACAGCAGTCTCCCCTTGAGGAAGTAGACAAGTTATTTCTGCTTCCCTGTATAATCCCCCTTTTATATTTGTATTGCAATTTTACAGATGATTAGAATTTTAACATCTGTACTGGAGGTGCAGCTCAGGAACTCTGGTCCCTGGGTTCAATCCCAGCATCATTGTGGCAGGACTTAATTTCAGACCAACGATTCACGTTATTAAATTATCTGAAGGAAAAATCATCTAAAAGATGAATGCCCTTTCTGTTCTTTTGTTTTTGCTTTTGAATTTCTTTGAGGCATGGTCACATGCTGTGGTTTATGCTAGTAATCAACTCACCATTAGCCCCGTTGATCTCAGACTCTTAACAATCCTCCTGCTCCAGCATCTCAAGGGCTGTGATTACTAAGGTTTTGTTGTTGTTTGGGGGACAGGGCCTCACTATGCATCTCTGGCTAGCCTGGAACTCACAGAGATTCACTTGCCTCTACCTCCTGATACTGGATTTGAAGGTGTGCACATAATGTCATGTCTGGCACAAGTTCTTAAAGAACTATGTTTTGGGAAAGGACCCTCATCTTTGCTGTATTTAGGGCGTCAAAAGCCCCAGGAATAAACCCACATCCTGGCTGTACCTAGGGGTCAGAAGCCCTAGGAGAGGACTTACATCCTGGCTGTCCTTAGGGGAACTGAACCCTAGGAGGATGACTGGATCAGATGACTTGAAGGATCTCTTAACTCCCTGTCCAATTCCATGCTAAGGCGGTGTCAATACACAAGGATGTGTTGGGTTCACAAGGAACCAATCAGAATACAAATTAATTCTTTTATAACCCCAATTATTTTAAATATTATAATATCCATGGTAAAAACACAAGCACAATTCGGTATGGGGCTGGTGTGTGTGCAAGAAAGCTCTGATGCCCTGAGGGCTTTCTTACGGAGGATGAATTTGTTAATTCCTAGAGGAATATTTTTCATACACCACTGCAGACTATTAAGTGCCACATATTACATTATGTAGTTTAAACTTTGCACTGCCGTGAGAGGGACTTCCCTGTTGAGAGAACTTTTTTTTTTATGCTTAGCATTTTTTAATATGAAAATGAACACTCCTTTAGGGTAAGATCACTGCAACTGGATTGGGAGAGTCTCCTAACTTAACATATCCATCAATGTGTGTAGCAGAAACACTCTGGGGGAGGGGCGGGAGGGAGGGAAACACAACAGGAAAAAGGATTTTTAATAACAGTGTCAACACAGGGCAGAGCATTGATATTTATAAGGTTTGGTTTCCACTGGGCATAACTGTAAACGGGCAAGAGACCAGCACAAGGTGAGAACAAGTTTCAAAAATAACAATAATAAGTAAAGGTGTTAAAGAGCAAAGAAAAACATGTGCTAAACTTCAGGTCAGTAAAAAACGCACACTTGCTAATGGTGGACTAGTAACCACTCACCCAGGAGAGATGCAGACTCAGAAATATTAAAAAGGCAATATAAATGCATTTTCAGGCAATTCCCGAGAAAATAGAAGTTGCCTTGCAGATCCTGGTGTCAAATGTGGAAATAAAATCCAAGCAGTGGTGGACATGTAAACCTTGCCATGAGGTACCTGGCTCTCAGCACTTGGCAAAGCAGACAGAAAGTTTAAACAGAAGGACTACTCACTTGTAGACTGTGCCTCCGTTGCCATGGCCAAGGGTGTCTCGATACCGTATGTCTTGTTCATTCATCTCCACAGGAAAGAAAGAAAAACAAAAAGAGTGTCATGCTGCGGATGGAAATGTCAAGGAAAGCAACTCTGGGCCATAAACAACAAGCAGGCTGGGTCATTCCAAGTTCAGCTGCAAGAACGAGAGGATCAATACAACATTTGCTGTCCAATTTATAAAAGACGATACCAAGGGACAAAGTGATGGAAAGTTTAATGACAATTTGTTTGCCTGGGTCATTTCATTAAAGTTTGATAAAAGGTGTCAAAACGGAATGATATAACACAGCTCAGAAGGGTCAGGTCAGACAGATACTGATAGGAAAATGGTCTCCAGCATGGCACACAACTAATGCCAACCAGTGACACACACAGGACCAAAGCCAAGCTTGGTGTGATCTCACACTCGAGCGCACACGTGCGTGCATGCACACACACACACACACACACACAGAGCCAGTAATTTATGCATGCTGTGTAAATAAACTAGCCCCTGAAAACTCCTTGCATGACCCCATAATTAACACAGAGCAAACTGAATAATGTTTATCATTTTCCTCAAGTGGAAAGAGGTTTTCTTTGCAAATGATAAGTTAGTACACAGCAATAGCTGGGTAGAAATCATATTATGCTGATTGGTAAATGCCAAACCACATGCCAACATCATAATGCCTACAGGGAACACACAGCATGTGTGTGATATCAACTAATGCTACTCCTATAACGTAAAGTACAAGACAGCATGCATGTTTCCTAAGGTTCTACAAAACTTACACCAAAAACACCACTCTTGTTTGTAATCATGAATGGCAGGTAAATTATGTTGGCACCCACACAGTAATGTTTTCAAGTCTTTAAGGGACTCCCTAAATAATCATTTATCACACGACTTTAAAGCTAGCCTGACTCCATTTGATACACTCAGTAATTCTTTAGGTACTGGTATGGGTGCATAAAAATTAACTGCCAACTTTATTCACAAAGTAGATTTAATAAAGGTATTGTTTTCCATATAGCTAAAGCTTGGGAAAGTAAGCCCTGAAAAAAAATCAATTTCCAGGGAATTGCACTGCCTTGCATTGGGCGGAAAATGGATGGAGTTCTTAATTCAATATCACTTGGAAAATAATAGTTTGCTTTTGGACCATTATTATAGTAAAGCTTTAAATATTTGCTCTGCTCTAAACTCCCACCTTCTGAATAAAGCACAGGCTTCATTTATCAAGGGAAATAGTTTTCCTTTCTACATTTCTGCGGTTGAAGCTTCGGAGGACTGTGATAATTAAGTGTGTGGTGCAAGTAGAAGCGACAGCTTCCTTGCCAAGCCATTTTGCCAGTTCCTAAAAGAGTATCGACAGACTCATGTGTGAGGGTCAATCCAGCACCAGATTTAATTGTTGTACAACCTGATTGATGCAATTTACAATCGGCTAATTGCTATATTTAAGGTCAGTGGGAAAACACTGGCAGACAAGTCAGAAAAATTACCAACTGCTTCCATATTCGAGGAAAATTCTGTTCTCGTGACCTTTAAACTACTAATGTAATAAAATGATATTTTACCCTGTAGAAAAGATGTGGCATGAAGGAAGGAAAGCCACATTACTCCGGACTAAATGACACCTTTTCTAACAACATGGACAACAGCAGCCCAGGAAGTGACCTGAGATGCTAGGCGAGCAGGACTGCCACTTGCTTCGCTTTGATTGATGAAGGGTTCATAAGCAGCGGTGTCTACTGGCAGGTATGAACAGCTACCAAGCCAATTCCCTGAGAGCATTTCTCTAGGTAATCTAAACATGCCTCCAACAACCTAATTTGCACCATTAACTTGCCTAACAAGATACATTCTCACTGTGGTTCGAGTAAATTTCTAGGAGGGAGAAATGTTACTTAGTCAAGTGCACAAACTCTGAATTGGTGGCACTAAGATCAAAGGGCAGTTGGGATGTAGGCATGCATACAGCTCAGAGGGTCTGGGTTCTGGAAGGGCTAACATTTGTGAGCAAGTCCTTCCCACCGGCAAAGAGCAAGGTATGGGTATCTCTGACCATCTACACCTACAATTCTAACAATACTCACAAAAGAGGAGTGGCCAGTATTCCCACATGCCAACTCCATTAGGAACAGTAGGTTTACAACATCAGGGGAGGGGCTTAGACCCTCATGAGGGAGGTTGGTGAGAAGCCGAGGGGAGGCAAAGCCTGTTGTTGCATGTGTACATGAAATGAGTGCTAAAAATTAAGATGAAATTATGGAATCCCCTAGATAATGAGGAAGATTATGCAAGATCATAAACAGAAGTGGTTCTCTGATGGAGGAAGGTCATTGGTTAATTAATAAAGAAACTGCTTGGTCTGATAGGTTAGAACATAGGTGGGTGAAGTAAACAGAACAAAATGCTGGGAGGAAGAGGAAGTGAGCTCAGACGCCATGCTCCCCTCTCTCGGGCAGATGCAATGAAGCTCCGACCCAGGATGGACGTAGGCTAGAATCTTCCTGGTAAGCGCACCTCGGTGCTACACACATTAATGGAAATGGGCCAGGCAGTGTTTAAATGAATACAGTTTGTGTGTTGTTATTTCGGGGCATAAGCTAGCCAGGCGGCCAGGAGCCGGCCTGTGGGAAGAGGCCTGCAGCTCCGACTACAGTTCTCAATGGTAGGTTCTAAAAGCATATTACTTTAAAAGACTACAGCCATAAGAAATGATCATATGCTATTGCTAGGTGTGAAAGGCCTTTGCCCAGCCAATGAACTGATAGTATTTTCTGTAATATTAAGAATATCAACAGCCAGAGAGATGGCTCAGTGGTTAAGAACACTTGTTTCTCTTGCAGAGGACATGGATTCTGTTCTCAGAACCCACACTGGGAGGCCCACAATCGCTTGTAACAGCAGATTCAGAAGAATCTGATGCTCTCTTTGAAATACTGTGGGTGCTGCATGCAAATGGTGTACATATGGACAAGCAGGCATGTACACACATGGTAAGTAAGAAAGAAGGAAGGAAGGAGGCAGGGAGGGAGGGAGGCAGGCATGGTGGCACACTACTTTAATCCTAGTGAGGCAGAGGCAGGAGGATCACTGTGAGTTTGAGGCCAGCCTGGTCTACATAGCGAGAGGTTAGTGGGTCCAGAGCTATATCGTGAGACCTTGTCTCAATAAATAAATAATTTAATATATATGTACATATCTTTATCTTTCTGTTTGCTTATGCATTTTCCATGTTTTTATAGCATATGATTTTTCTTATGTTTTTAAAAGTTGGACTCCATTTGCTTGTTTTAGGAGACAGGGTCTTGAAGTCCTAGGGTCAAGTGTTTTTTTTTTTTTTCCTGGTCTCAGTCTCCTGTGTTTGGGATTACATGTACATGGTTACTGTATCATATTGTAAAGATAAAAGCTTATTAAAGCAGAGATCATGAAGTGATTTTAAAAACATTGAGGATTTCATACATGATATAAAACTATAAAAAGCAGCTAATGCATTTTTGCCAGTTATTCTTAGATAAGCATATTAAATCAACCTTTCAGAATGAAGCACACGAATCATGTCTACTGAGAACTGGAGGTGGGATTTATAAACTACAGAGTAATTCATGTGACCACTAGGATCATACAAACCACAGCTTTATTGCATCTGAAGGCCACTTAACCCAATTCATAACTTCATAAGTACACTAGTTCAAGCATTATGCACCCACAGTCTGTCTTGGATGCAAGATGGGGGAGCACTGCTTTCCAATGGTCAGTGTGTACAGACAGGCGGCCACTAACCAAAAGGCTCTCATAGGCTAAAAGCAATTTTCAAAATAAATAAATTTCATTTATTTCTAATAAGGTATATTTTATAAGCAACACTTAGCTCAAGAGCTAGGGAGATGGCCGAGTTGGTAAAATGCTTGTTATATAAGCATGTGGAATTGAGTTCATATTCTTACCACCTACATAAAAATGGGGCATGGCGACATACACCTGCAATGCCAGGGCCAGGGGGCAAAGGTAGGTGGATCTCTAAAGTTTGCTAGTCAGCAAACTACCAAAATAGCAAGCTCTAGGTTCAGTGAAAGAGCCTGTCGCAAAAAACTGAAATGGACAGCAATGGAGTAGGACACTTAAGGTCAACCTTTGACCTCCATGTGTGCACATTGCTAGCATTTCTATACATGCATGCACTACGATCACTACACCCCATCCACCCCCACCCACCCCACACAGCTTTTCAAGCTATAAAGATGTGAGACTGTTTTTTAACTTAATAAAGATGCCAGTTTTTAATCATAGTTATTTTCCCTGTTTTAACTTTAAAAAGCAAATAAGCAAAACAACAGGCGTGAGAGGAGAGGAAGGAAAAGCCACAGAAGCTGCATATTCACAAACAAGAAAGCGGATGGTTGGTAGTACCTGTATTCTAGTTCAGAGAGAAGAGGGGACCAAGAAAGCAGGAGCCAGCAGCCACCCCTGAGGCCAGCCTATGTCTGGGCAGAAAGAGGGACTCGGCAGATCTGGCTCACACTCAGCCTCATTCCTGCCTCAGTCTCCATCCACTGGACCATTCGGAACTGGAGCGCTTTACATGCTGGTGCTGACTGGGCTTGTAAAGGCAGTTGTTACAGCTGATCCCTACCCTCCCTAGGTTAGAGAACTTTTCTAAAGGTACCTCAAGTTCTGGAAGCAATAAAGGTGTGGCAGGAATGGAACTGGCCTGACAGGACAGTAAACACAGTCAATCAGAAACAAAAGGGAAAGAAACCACTTTAGAGACACAGAGGCAACAGTCCATGGCGTGACGACTGTTTCTTTTTAAATCCTTTGAATTGACCCTCTGGGCTCTTCCCAGTCATTTTCAAACTCAGGGCAAACATTAGACAGACAAAGTCACGGTGGACTTGAGTGGGGGAAAACACTCCAAAAATACCACGGCAAGTCTGATTCATAGCTCTCAATAAAACAGGCCCCAAATATCTTTTATTTATTTAATAAGCTAGAAACTGGAATCCTCCACCATAAAGTGGTAACAGGAAAAGAACAGCTCTGTTCCAAAGACTAAAGGTAAACTTGTAAAGTGGTTCTTGATTTAACATATTAATGAAATTAATGAAGACAATGAAACAGAATACAATTATGGATTAGCAAAGACTATGTTCTTTGTTTACTGTCTGACTGTGTTAAAAAAAATAAGCATATCACTTATAAATCATTAAAATAAAAATGCTCAGTTAATCCTATTTTATATGTAAAGGCCTGACAGAACCGAGTCCCAGCACAAGACCTTTGCTTCACAAATCGAAGCAATAATGGTTTCAGAAGGCGTCACACTCTATGAGCAGACAATTGGGGAGATTTAGTAAATCCCACTTTATAGAGCAGAGACTAATCGGAAAACACAAGCCAGTCAAATGTTTCTTATGAACTGTTGACACTCTATCAATGCTGAATCAATTGGTGGCATTTACTCTGAGTGACAGAAAAGAAATAAATATTTATATCACATAACCTATATCAATGAACCCAGGCAGAAGGCTATTTCTAACCTGTCAATATTTGATTATCTTGAAGAATCATGTCTCTTTCTTTTGATGATTAATATGAATTCCTTATGAAATCTAAGTGGAGGCTAGTGGAAAGGCAAATCATTATTAATGCTTGAGAGCTTAAACCACTCAAATAAAACTACACTCAAGTGTTCAAGTGTCGTTAAATGTGACTTACATCTTCCATATCAAACGGTGTCAGTGTTCAGCCCGGAGATTTACCGATGCCTACGCCATGTGCACTGCTTCACCGCAATGCAATCTCACCCTCAGTGAGCAGCTCCCCAGCACAGAAGAATTAGTACAAGTAGGTATTTTGAAAGCATACGGAGGAACATTACTCGTCTCTCATTTTTTAGTTATTTATTTTTGAGCAAAAGTAAGGATAAGATTAGCTTATCTTTAATAAAAAAAAAAGAAACTGCCACACTGTCTACTGTGGTGTTAGCATATTCCCGAGAGAAAGCAATAAACAATACTTAAGTGTCAAAAACCATTGCAAGCCAATCTCCCACTGCAAAGACCCTCATATGTGACCCTACTACAATATTTGTGGGCTGTGTTTTTTTGTCAAAACATTAGGGACACTTCAGAATGACTGTGGGGGGGTGTGCGTGCGTGTAGTAAAAACAGTGTTTTTCATTTTGGAGACTGTATGACAGGCTATTTTCCATTGTCTACGTTGAATAAATGTAGTTAAAACTTCTTAATTTATGTCTATTTTGAAATATATTTCCAGCTGAAGAACATGAGTGACTTGTACATAAACTATAATTAATAACAAAAATGCAAGCATGCTGAGGATACATAAGTGGCCTGGGCGCAAGACTCTGGCTTTTGTTCATGCTGGTCCTGCACACACACCAGGCACAGGGCGTCAGGTGCAGACCTTGCTCTAAACTAACCCTGGCAAAAACAGTAAATAAATGCTATCTAACATTTGGAGGCTGAGAGTATAGCACTAGCTTAGAATGTGAGAAGAGCCAAGTCTGAGCCCTAGCACCGTCTATCTCAGAATTTGAGACTACTGGGATTAGATACTCATACACCACCAAGTCAGAGCATCTCCTGCTGGATGTGGAGCACTTAATGACTAGAGTCGTGCGCACTGGCTGAGAGGGTGTGAGAATCAGATCAATTCAATTTTTTGTAAGTATTCACAAAACTGTGTGCCAGACTTCCAGAAGTACTTCTACGCATGGCACGCACACAGTGTTACAGGTGTTATTAGAGACAAGAGTGAGGATCCAGCTTTGTCCGCTCGCCATTCTCCACTACAAGTCCTTGATTCATGAAATGCCAGCAAGGCTTGGGGAGGTCGGCGTGCGGAGGCACTGAATAAGCATCGGAGATAATTAAGACCTCAGCCTTCGAAACACGGACGGAAGTGAACAGCAGTTAAGAAAATCAATAAGAGTCTTTTATTTGCAGTGACACAGATGTCTCAGTCAATAGAGCCTAATAGGCAGGCTTGATCGCAACGGACAGGCGCTGCCTGCAAGGCTATCAAAGGGTTTGTGCTGTAACAAACATTAAAACGCATTTATGTTGCTACTGAGGAATTGCAGGCCCTGTAGGTAGCTTCATTTACCAGTGAATGTTTAAAAGCTCTATACTTTTTCTGAAGTGTCCATTTACTCGAGTCAAAATTAGTGAAAAAATAAGTGGCCTGCAGGCCCGTTTGTCCTTCCTGGCCGGGTTAGGTCATTCAGATTAAACTCAGATGGCCCACTAAAAAGGCAAAACCAAGGTTCCCTGAAGCTCAGGGACTCATGTGCCACAGCCTGTCCAGCCTGGTTTCTGTCCCCACAAAAGCCAGTACTGGTCTCTGGACAAAAGAGGAGCTAAGGCTGGAAAGTAACAGTCTTTCCCATTTGTCCCCAAAGATAATGGAAGAAACAGTCACCTCAGAACACAGGGCCCTGTCAACAACCCACGGGTTGATGACTTGTTCAGAACTGATTAACTTTTTTAAGCTGAGATGGCAGTGGGGTGTGTGCACAGTGCCTCAATCTGCTGGGAGTGAAAGCCATTAGCTCAGGTTGGAAACCGTGCTGCAGATTGTTCTGCCAATCAAATTAAGCTGTGGCATTCATTTATGACAAGAAGAAACGTGCAGACTCTTCGTCACTTAGCACTAACTCTGGCACACTCTGGACAGCCACAGATTTGCTACTCTGAAGGCTAGCACGAGACAATACTTACCTGGCCATTGGCCAGGATCTTCTTCAGTTCAGCGGAGGACTTCTTCAAGCTGCAAAGTAAAGACACCGTTAGCAGCATGGCCACCAACAAATCTCAACACCATTGCAAACTCTAGAGCAGGGCCCCAAGGGCGCAGCTTAGGCGGCAGAGTACTTGCCTCCCATGCACCAGGCCCTGGGGTTGATCTCAAAACCAGGTAAACAGTGTGCTGGTGCACACCTACAATCCCAAGAAGCAAGAGAAGCAGCGGTTCAAGGTCATCCTCAGCTACATATGGAGTTTGAGTCCAGCCTAGGCTATATGAGAACTTGTCTAAATAACAATAATAAAATAATAATAATAATAACACACAAACAAATGAATAAAACTTTTAAAAAAACATAGCACCTCCCTAACCACTATTCTCTGTGAAATGTAGAGCTGACTGGCTCTGTCCTCAACTGCCCACACTACGCTCTCCTCAGATAAACTCCCCCTTCTGGTTTTTCCCAGTGCGGCTCTTCCTTGCCCCACACTCTCCCCTGAGAACACAGATCTCAGCTCGGTCTATTATGGCCCGCTCCTCCTTGCTCCTGAACACCAGGTGCTAACTGTTCAAGAAATGATGGTCAATCTTATTCTGTGGCAGGTGTAGCGATAACATGGAAAGACATAAATATCTAAGTACATCAGGAACCAAATGGGATCCGAACCTAATCTGAACCACAGACTTAATCTGAACCACACTGGCATTCTACCTGACATTTTTAATAAGTAAAACTGGAGTCGACCTCAGACTTTGAGCTGGGCCTGCTGATAGCCATTCTCTCTAAACACTCCTTAAAATTCTGCTGGGTCCAATACAGACTACTGGGCCTCTGTTCCTAAGATATGCCTTCACCTAAGGATTCTAGGCTAATAATGCCCTCCAATTGGCTAGGGGGATAGTCAGGAATTTTATAGACTGGGACAAACAAAACATACCAAAAAGTGAGCCGCTGCCTCGGAACCAGTCCAGTTCCCAACATGGTCTGGCACTTCCATGTACAGGGTGCTGAGCAATGCCAGGCACTGTCACAGGGCTACTGCATAGCCTCCGGATTTAGCCCTCGGGAACGACACTCCTTTATGTATAGTTATTATCCCTGCCTTACAGACAAGAGGCATGGCTCTTGTCCAAATTCTGATTATCACTTACACTTTCACACGCCTGTCTGAGAAATATTTCAATCTTTGGTAATTCTGGGTCTAGTAAGGACACAAACAACCAAACAAAGGCTCCACCGTGTCCTCTCCACAGACAGCCCATTACGTCACAAACTTACATAACAACACTTCCAATTCTTCACGGCATTTACAAAATGCCTTTCATCCAAGAAACAAAATATGATTCCTTAACATAGCTTCATCAATCTTCCACTGTCAGTGGGAGGAGGGAGAGCGCGTTCATCCTAATATTACAGAAGGCGAAGGCCACACTGTTTGGAAAGGCCTTGGCAGAGGGACTTGAATTCAGTCAGTCATGACCTAGGAAGACCATGTGGGTTGATAAGCTCAGTCTACCAAGTGGTCATTTACCTATGCCTAAAAACAGCTTACTCTTTGAAAAGTAACAGAGGGAAGACTGACTCCACTTCATGCCAGGGTCTAGATGTGGGGATCCAGTTTTAACAAGGGAGGAGGACTAGCACCCAGAAGTCGAGTATATGTTTAGGATGTGCAAGGTCAAGTCTTAGCACGGAAAACAAACAGTTTCATCCAGTAAAACTGTTTTAGACACTGCTTATTCAGCATCTCATTTCTGTCTGTAAGAACTTGAGCTACCAAAACTCCTTTCCAAATGTTTTGAAATTTAAGTGCACATAATGGTAACCTGCCTACAACACCTGGGGAAAGACACTGAGATATCCAAAGTGTAAAAGAATAAAAAGGCAGGAGAGGTGGCTCAGGGGTTAAGAGCACAGATTAAGTGAGAACTGAGGCTGAGGGAGAAGTAAAAGCGGACATGAGTATACACAGCCACTCACCCACGCATCCCAGCAAGCACTCAAGTGCCATGCCTCAGACCAGGGCTTGCAGGGGGTACACTGAGTCACTGCCCTCCTAGAGCACCGAAGCTACGGGGAACCAAGATGATGGTGCTCCAATGTGCTCACTGCTATAGTCAAAAGAAGCGTGGGTGAGGGTGGGGCACAGGGGTCAACAGAGAGAGCCTGCTATCACTTTGCAGGTGGGTGGTGATGGGGTCCACACAGGGCACCTGCTATAGCTTGGGAGGTGGGGGGGGGTACAGGGGTTCACACGGGGCACCAGCTATAGCTCGATCGGTAGGTGGTGATCAAGAATAGGCTGAAGTGCACAGAACACCTGTACCAAACAATACCCCTCAAGACCCATGGAGGTCTTGCTTCATCCTGAAGTAGGAAATGGTGCTCATAATTGTGCCTTAGGGTTACATTTTGGAGTTGGTTTATTCCTTCGTGGTCCATGTATTAGAAACTCAGTCCTTAGGGTGTCAATATTGAGGGTGTGGATCTTGAAAAGATTCTAGTGGGAGATGCATATGTCAGTTGGAGGTGTGACCTCAAAAGTGATTGTGGAACCCAGGCTCACTCTCTCTGGTTCCCTGCATCAGTCACTCTGAATGAGGAGAGATAGCCACAAGGAGTCACCACCAAGACCTGTCCTGGGTCACTGGGCTTTCAATGCCCCAAACTGTGAGTTAAGTAAACTTTTTCTCTCAACACAATGGACTATCTTGGGTATTCCATCATAGTGAAGAAGAGTTGACTGATACAATTAGGCTGTCCCAGCTAAGGCAGAGCAGAACTGCAGGGGCAGCGGAGATTTCCCCGGAGCTGAAAGAGGCAGGTGCAGAGCTCCTAGGAAGGTGCAGGCTGCTGGAAGGATGTGATGTGGGAGAGAAGATGGCAGGAAGAGCTCACTTAAAAGAGGAATAGTCGTGTTCTAGGGGCAAAACTCCATCTTTCCAAGTGGGTGCCGAAGGGCTCTAAATCCCAGCTCAGAAAGAGCCTCTTAAGATGGACCTGAATGACAACAAAGGGGCAGCCTTGGCCCAGGAAGTACATCCCTAGCCCAGATGCTGGGAAGAGACTAGGTGTCCATTAGACAAAGAACAGGAGTCAAGCATCAGAGGAGAGCAGGCTAAGACGGGTACTTTCCCTCCTCCTGCTCCCCACAGGCGAATCATCTAAGAGCACCAGACAGCTTGCCCTCTGCTACACAGCCCTCTCTGGCTCTGTAAAGAAAGGTAAAGCCCCTGGACCTTCCAGGCCCCACGTGACCGGACTCCTGTCTCCATCCTTGCTTCTCACCTCTTGTGTTACTCTCCCAACTTCCCACACCCTGCCCTAACCCGGCATCTCCCTCATGTTCCAGCCAACCAGCCCACTTACACAGGTCAGCTCTTTCCCCTCAGGGCCTTGTCGTAGGTACATCCCTCTAGCTGAAATGTCTTTATTGTGATGTGACTTGGTCCTCCTTGTGCATCAGGTCTAGATGGAAACATCCCTCTCCCCAAGGAGCCAGTTCTGAGTACTCAGTTTAAACAGAAACATATTCCTGTCTAGTGTTTTCCTCCGCATGCATCTGCTTCCCTCACGACGGTACTGCCACATCATACTCCTAGGACAGCAGCTAAGGAGTAAGAGGCACTTCATAAATACCTGCTGATTAGTCATCAACCGGGGCATAGAACACAGCCAATGTAGGGTAACATCAAAAACACCCGTAGGACTTTTTCAATTAACATTCTTCCCATGATAGGAATCACTCTCCTTGCCGTCTAGGAGGCTGCCGTATCCCCAAGTGAAGATGCCAGGATGAAACCGTACATAACCAGGTGGTGAAGTTTTGTCCAATCCAAGAGTAACAATACTTCATGAAGAGACGTGACAGCTTTTACCCCAAGCTAATCCTCACGTGTGACCGAAACGACTGGAACACTGGAAGTAACACTGCTTCTATGTTTTGAAATCTTTTCAATTCCATCTGGCTTATTATGCCATAGGGAAGTGTGATCTAAAACACCAGGGGAAAACCTTGTCCTTCCCCAGGCTCACATGGTGCTTGTGTGCGCACCAGCATTTCTGGAATCAGTGGTACCAGTGAATTGTTCTACCTTCCTGGAGCTGGGTGAACATGCAGGCCTCTACCCACAGGCCTCCTCTCTGCAGGGCCATGACTCCCATGTCCAGGCAACATGAGACTGAATGCAAAGCAGTGTCAACATCGGCCCCACGAGACCAGGCAGATAGCACGCTGGTGACTAGCTAGACAACTGCACTGTAGCATGGAGCCAACTGTTAGAGGCAACACCCTTCTAGAGCCCTGTGTCCTCAGCTGGAAGGTTAGTAGGGAGATACTGACACCAAAACCAGAATAGCAGCTTTGCTGGGGGAGGGGTGGACCTAGTGGAGGAGCTCTTGGGTCAACTGGGATTGTGGAGACAGTGTGGTGGTACACACCAGTAATCCTAGCACTTGTGGGGGGAAGAAGGCAAAGGGATTGCCACGTTTGAGGTCTAGCTGGGCTACACAGCAAGACTCTCAAAAATTAAAGAAATATAAGTTAGAGAATGGATCAGTGGTTAGGAGTACTTGCTGCTCTTGCAGAGAACCCAGGTTTGGTTCCCAGCACCCAGGCAGAGGCTCACAACCATCTGTAACTCCAGTTCTAGGGGCTCCAAACCACCTCTTCTGGCCTCAGTGGGCACATGCACACAAGGGTTGCATACATATCCATACATGCAAGCAAACACTCAAAATATAAAATAAAATGATTAAATTTTTAAAAGAAAATAAAGAAGAGGGCAGGATCACAGGCACAGAGGGTCTCTCTGTGGCTTCCATAATTAAGATGCAAAGCCTTCTACAGATATTCCCACCATGAGGAGAGTGGCTGACAAGGAACTCTCATCACAGCCTGCCAGGCAAGATGGACTTACAGCCTCCAAAACGGTAAGCCAGCATCAAATCAGAACCCCCCAGCCAAAGCCCCAAGACTGTGGATAAGTGAGGACAGAAAGGACTGAAGGGACAGCAGAAGCCAAAACCACACCTTAGCCCATAAAAGGCTGTGCACACACTGACTAAAGCCAGAGGCCAGGAACTCCAGTGCAGAATGGAAGAAGGGGCCTTCGGTTCTGTCAGCTTTTCAGTCGCCACTGTGACTCTGCCATCCCGAGCAACCACTTCCAGCATCACCCCCAGTAAGGAATCTGAGGTTACTAGTAGACTAACTGGCCACATGGACAAAATGTCCCAAGTCACCCCTCTGACCTGAGTACCGCCACAGTGTGGCAGCTCAGTTCAGTTACAGAAGAAAACTTTGAAAGGCTTAAGATCTGTCCCAGGGTGGGGTGATGCTACCATGAATTAACAAAAATAATCTTCCTATTACAGTAGCTTTAATCTCCTGGACAACCAAAGACGCCATTAATGAGCAGACTGCCGGTCAAGTTAAATGTCACCATTTGACTCTGTCCCTGACTCTGTCTGGTGAAGATGCCAGCAGATAATAACACTGTCAAAGGTGGACAGGCAAGAAAGACTTGGTAAGTATCACACAGCTTGTAACTGAACCAAGACTTGAAACAGGCATAGAACAGTCTATACATTTTTGAAACTTAGGGAAAATTACTCTAGAACAAAGTTAACGGTGTAACATGTTGATTCCACCTTTTGAATCTTCATTCATTCATTCATTCATTCACTGTGCACGGGGCTGTGTGGTAAAGGTGTGTGTTTGTGTGGGTGTGTGGAAGCCAGAGGTTCACATAAGATACCATCCCCAATGGCTCACAATCTTGTGTTTTGTGATAGGGTCTCTTATTGAACCCAAAGCTCACGGACTCCGCTAGGGTGGCTGGCCAGTGAGCTCCTGAGAGCTGCCTGTCTCCACCTCCCAGAACTGGAGTCACAGATGTGTGCTGCCACATCTGGATTTGACACGAGGGCTGGGGATCAGGCCCTCACGCCTCCCTGGCAGGCACTTTGCCCACTGGCCATCTCACCTGCCTCTATTTCAGCTTTCTATGCTAAGTCTTTTTTCTCCTCAGCCAGTGTGCAGCAAGGGCTATCTGGCTAGTTCACTTTCTCTACAGCCACCTACACCGTTTACCTTACAGAGCAGCCATGTGATGACCAAGCCCTTCCCACCCCCACCTGGAGAGGGGAGTGCAGCAGGGCACACTTCCCTTGTTTGTCCTCACCTATTGCTTGGAAGGGAATCTGAGACCACAGGGCTGGCATGTTGAGATGGTCCAGCCCGCGTATTCACCTATAAGTAAAGAGAGAAGTTTGATCAGCCTTGTGTTCTGAGGACGCAGTTCTAATTAACCTATAATTCACCACACAGTGTCTCATCTCCCTATGAAGGTTAATTAGCTGCTGCTAGACAGACCCACGGTTGCAGTGTATTCAGTATATAGGTTACAGAACTGTACAATCCATATATTACATAATCCCTATCCCCGGCGTTATTCAAATACTTAAATAGTGCTGAAAGAGAGAGAAACCGAGGGATGAAAACCTCAGCTTGCTATTTAGAACAATAGAAAAGCGGGATGCCCGTGAAGGCGTGTTAAGCTTGTGTCTGGGGGTTAGTAGGAAGCCTCAGGACGCCACCCCCTTCCAGCTCTACAACTGCTTCTCATTCACTAGAAAATGAGGTTCAAGTAATTAATTATAAAACACTTGAGCCTAATAAAATAGCCAGCTTTTCTTTCAGACGTGAAGCCTTGAGCAGAAATCCAGAATTTAAAACACGCAGAACAAGGAAAAGGCATTATATGTGTTTCAGACAGAAATATGTCGAGAGGAGAGGGAAGGCACCCTGTGTGCAATGTGCTATGTGCTTAATTAATCACCAAAATGAAGTCCATGCTCTCACTCATATGAATCTTTGTAGAGAGCAGACCCCAGGATCTCCTGGAGAAACTGACCAGCAAAACGATCCCAAAAATTGAAAACTACAGCACCAAAGGCCTAGGATTCCAGTACATACACAGCGTAAGCAAATACAGATGTTGCCTTCCACCCCCACCACTCAAAAAAAAAAAAAAAAAAAAAAAAGAGAGAGAGAGAGAGAGAGAGAAAAAAAGATTGCTTGTCAGAGCTTGAGAAAGTGCAGTTTTATTTGACATTTCAATAAGTGGAACACAGCATTACAAATCCATCTAACTTTACTGAAACAATTATTGAAATTCGTACCTTCAGGCCATGTATGTTCCGTTCCCCAGGAGGCTTGCAGGCTGAAACAGTAATTGACTAAATTGTAGAACACATCAGGGCCATTTACAAATTTGCTCAAAATGAATCGTTTAAAAAGAAATGAGGGTGACACCAAAATTAGCAGAGAGAAATGATTGAAAAGTGGCCCCCAAGACCCAAGGTGGGAATTATGAACCGGGCTCTTAACTTGCAGGCGTGAGCGTTTATAAATGCAGAGCTTTCTGACTCCACTTCATATGAATTCCAATTTCTGCTTAAAACATAGCAAAGCCAAGCTAGCCGAGCTAAAATGATGAGACTCCTCCCGTGGCTCGGGTTTCTGCAGTCTTCCCTCACTCTACCGAACTGCATGAGGCAGTCAAAGGATGTGCAAAACAGCAGGTCTCTGCTTTTGTTGCTTTGAAGGCATGGAGGGGTAGGGAAAGGGTCCTTGAATCCAAAAAGATTGCTATGGACTCCAAGATGGAATATGCAAGTCTGAGGGTATTCAAATTTTGTGTAGCCACAAGCAATCAGATTTATTAAAACACAGACATACGATTTAATGAGGTTTCTTGATATCTGCTCCTATTTAGCTCTGAAGATAACATGGGCCAGGAAAAACAACAGCGCTTTCCCAGCACCACCCTGGGATACAAGTGGGACATTTCTAACGCCCGCAGATGGTTCTTCGTCCCGTTAAAACACAGGGCTTTCTAGCCATGTTATAGACTGATTCTAGTCAAACACCACAGGGTGGGGAGGGCTGTCGGTTCTGACTAATTGTTTAGGGAAGAGTGAACATGAATTTTTTTTTCTTTCTCCGTTTCTGACAACAGAAATTGAGCTGCTTAAGAAGATGCACATGATAGTTACAAGGTGTGGTGAGTTTAACTTCAGGGCCTCTAGTAAATTTGAATTTATTATGTTATTAGGGCTGGAAAGATGTGCACTGCTCTTCCAGAGGACCTACGTTCAATTCCCAGCACTCACATGGTCACTCACAACCATTTCTAACCCCAGAGGTTCCAAGGTGTCCAATACCTCTCTGACCTTCTCCAGTTCCCATATACTCATGGGCAGGCACACACTTAGGTACACAAACACACACAAAATGAAGTAAATAAATATAGCTCTAAAAGTGAATTTATTAGGGTATCTAAAAATATTATCCACAAAATATATCTCAACATGAATAAATGTTTTTATTTTTTCTCTAAGTGCATAAGATACTTAATACATTAAGACTCCAAATCTCTCTATATATGCAAAATAACTCTTTGAACAAAATAACAGCTGCATACATCTGGTTCCCAGCCCTTGAAGGACCCTCAGTACTCCCTCAAACCTTTGTCATTAGAAATCTAAACAGCCATGGTGCATTCAAAACTCCAGCAACCTCATACATCCTGAAGTTAAAAAGGTAGTTACTATGACGCTTGCCAATTTTCATACTTATTAATATTTAACACAGCTCTGAGCCACAGGGAAGACTTGGCCATGAACTAGGAGTGGAACACTATTCAAGAAAACAGTGACAGTTGGAATGAGGAGACTCTGTGACTAGAGTAGAATCACTGTCTTCTGTCCCGCCAACTTCTTCAGTCTAAAAATTCTTTTTAACATGGGGCCTAGCCACAGACCCTCTCAGGCTTGAGACCCTCTGACCAGCCAGGAAGACCCAGGGAGCCTCCTGCCACGCCCACGTTCTAATTGTACATTGTCTTAGGATGCACCCCTGTGTTGCTATGATAAATACCACGGCCAAAAGCGACCTGGGGAGGAAAGAGTGCATTTTAGCTTACAGGTTACAGTCCATCATCAAAAGAAGCCAAGGCAGAGACGTGGAGGAGCCAACACAGAAGTCGTGAAGAGCTGTTAACTAACTTGTTTCTAGACTCACACACAGATACCTTTCTTATACAACCCAGGAGAGTCTACCAAGGGCTAGCACTGCAGACAGTGGTCTACGTCCTCCTTCATCAATTAGAAATCGGGAAAATGCCCACAGACATGCCAGTCTAATGAAGATATTTCTTCTACTGATGTTCCCTCTTCCCGGGAATCTCTAGCTTGTGCCAGGTTGACAAGATGCAACCAGAGAAAACAGACATTTCATCACCCCATCATCTGCGTCCACACTGAGGGAGTCAACAGCAAAAAACAAGACAACAAAAGAGCCCAAAAGACCCAAATCACAGCAGAGAGAAGAAGCACAGAAAGGGGGAAGAAGTCACATTTTGGAATCCTCAGCATGCCTTGGTGAGACTACAGTTAATGCGCTTTAGGCCTCAGAGGTGTTGTGTGGGGGCTGCAGCGATACCAGCAGCTCCTAGCTTTGTCTTCGCAGCATCCTCTTCCTCCCACTCTTACACGACACCCTCCAAAGCCCCTCACGCACCTCACTGGTCCCTGAAGTTAGATGCCTTTCCCCAGAAACAAACTGTAATCTAAACCAACTTCTCACTCAGAATACACTGAACACTTAGGAGCTGTGGACTCTCTGGTCCTCGCCCCTCTGAGCCTCAACAGGCCACACAATGGAAGCAGTAAACCCTAACTGTAAACCTGTTGGGAGAGCAGAAAGGAGAGCAGAGGTCTCAGAATGGCCGCCACCAAGGGGGCTCTGCGTGGGAACAGTAACACCCACAAGACTGCCCATACAGTAGAAGGCAACTAAACTAAAACGATTCCCCATGGAGAGAAGGAAAGAGTTCGCTGAGGAGAAGAGCCCTCGGCACAGCACGACAACTAGGTTCTTGGGGATCTGTACCCAGCTTTGCCATAACAGAGCTCAGAAGCAACTCATAGAGATTTTCAGCCTTTTTAGAGGAAACAATTTCTAAATTTGCCCTAATTCTGCACCACTGAGAACACCAGGGACTAATCTGAGTCACCATCAGATTCTACAAAGAAACAGCGGTCTTCCTCTGCCTGTTCAGTAAGCACCACAGACCCGATTAATCAGTTTCCTTCTGATGACCAATGAGCTTGAGAAGCACAGTTTATCCCCTCACTTAGCCCTTCATTAAGTTCTTACTAATAGTGAAATAAGCCCCTGGTTCCACTGCCCACACACACGCCCAAAGAGGAATATTGCGCTTGAACCCGGATCTCCTCCCTGGCTGGTCAAGCCAGCAGCCTTTGGAGACCATCTCTGCAAATAGAGCCCACTGGTTAATTGAGCCATTCAAACTTCTGAGTTACAGGTAATGAAAGTCTAGAATGTTTAATTGGAAAACTCATACCATGATTATCTGTACAGTTAAGGAAGGTGAGTTTAACTTTTAATTATTTCAATTAAGCTATTTCTAGAAGACTTACTTAGATGGTTTCCTGGTCTGTTCTGTTAGTTAGAAAACATGGATTTCAAGTGGGACAAAAATAATGGCTAAAAATGGCTTATATAACTAAGTCGCTCTTTTCACCATTGTTTAAATTTTGAGGGGATGTTTGCACAAATGAGCCATTGTAGCTGATACAGGCTGGTGCTACCCAATCTAAGAGAGGAATTCCCACTGAGACTCACTCTCATCCACTCACGCCATTGAAGAATGTGTCCCATTATTTAGAAAATCCCTCCCCTACCCCAAGACAAATCCCAAGTTCTGCCCAGGACTCTGTCCTAGAGCCCCCAGACTTCATAGCTTCCACATCATCTCAACGGCAGCTTGTACCAGCATCACGAGCTGCAATATATAAAGCCAGAATTCAAGCCATCCATTTGCCTTGGTTTAGAATCATGGGGACTCCCAAAGAGTTCTTTAAGCGAATGTAAGTATGTACTTCAAAAACAAAAAACAATCTAGTTAGTTTAATTTACTCCAGCAGATTAGATATTTTATCTGCCATAACTATAACATAGCTTGCAATCCCCCATGATAATGAATACTTCTTTTGTTTTTTTTTTTTTTTCAAATTAAGAGCTAAACATCATGTTATGTGCATTTAAACCTTTGGAAAACATAACTGTTGATGAAACAGTTTGCTGAAATAATCATTGTTGATTAGGATTTGTTCAACATTACCTCTCGGAAATATCTGCAGCGGCTCTATTAGCTGGCCATTTACTTGCTGTTCCATTACTGTGGAATAATACTGCAAAGAGATAATAGAAAGGAATTACTCAGTAATGTACGGACACTGGGATAGACACTACGGGCTGTTTAATTCATTGTACTTTTGGAAATGGCTGGTATGCACATCTCAGTCTTGAGAACACGTACCCTATATCTGCACACCAAAATCACTACAGTGACTATATTCAGGATTTGGAAGCTTAGTATGGGGTTACCATCCATACCACGATTTATCTTTAACAGTATTAACTAAAACCCCATGTTAATATTTATCATACTCTAAAATGATATCTATTTTAAATGACACAAAAAGCATTTTGATAGAAATTACTCAAATTTTCTCTTGTCTTTTTCTTCTGAATTTTATAAAGCAAAACGAATAGGCTCAATATTTGGCTTGAATCCACATGTCAGCTAATGAAACATGTACAATTGTGTATAAAAACACACAGACAATGAAGATCAAAACTGCAGAGACTGTGGGACCAGTGAACAACACATTATCCAACCAAGGACAACAGAATCCCCACATAAAAAGATAGCTCCCGTCTAGAAAATCTACTTCAGATGCATAATTTAGTCTTAGGCATAGTTTAAGATGGATCAAAATTTACTGTAAAATTCTAGGCACACAAAACATAAGGTCCTGAGTAAAATATAGCTCTCTGCCCTTCATAAAGCATTTATGGACTGAGGTCCCATCCCTTTTCCTTGTAGTACTGCCTGGACCCCCACCCACCTACTCTGGGAGATGCCTTCTGTTCCTTCTTATTTATATTCCTTTTAAGCTGAACAAACAAGAAAACGATGCTCATGAAGAAAAATTCCTACAGTGAAAAGCATTGACTAGGCCCAAAATAGTCTTTAAAATTTTTTTATGTGTCCAAAAGTTTTGCCCACGTATATGTCTGTGTAATACTACCATGTCTGATGTCTGCAGAGACCAGAAAAAGGCCTGGAACTACAGACAGTTGTGAGTCAACGTGTGGTGCTGGAGAATCAAACTCCAATTCCCTGGAAGAGCAGCCTCTCCAGCCTAACTTTGTGTTTTACGGGCCTATCAAAAGCAGAACTCTCTCCTTCTCTCATCTTTGCTGTTTTTATATTTAAACATTCATATATCTCTTAACTACCACATTTTCAGAAAATTCCTGAAAATTGATTATCATGTTCATTAACATGCTAAAAAAAAAAACAAACAAAAAATCAAACTTGTATCTTGGAGCTGAAGAAATGGCTTTGTGGTTAAGAGCACTGGCTGCTCTAGGGTTCAGTTCCCAGCATCCACATGGTAACTCACAACTGTCTCCACTTCCAGGAGACCTGACAAAACACCAATGCATATAAAACAAAAATAAATAATTTTTTTAAAAAAAAATGTGTCTTTCTATTGGTTTTATATAGATTAAAGTTATTTTAGAATTAATCTTTTTCATTAGAAATATGCAGAGGCCTCAAAATTCTACAACACTGTGAGGGTCAGAAGCTGAGAAATCCAAGGCTTCCTGTCCTGCAAACAAGGAAGGTGAGGAGGGAAGGGCCCAGGAGGGACTGTTTGCTAATGACTGAGATGAGCGTGGCCTCCCCTGCAGTGGCTTTCAAACTGTAAAGGAAGGCAATTCTCTCTTTCTATGGATCTAAAAACTTAAACACGCACAGCGTAAATACGTGCAAATCACTCTGGAATATACGAAGGCAACACAAGGCTGTTCCTGAAAAGCCCAGAAATACAGCGCGCACACCATTACTCACGCGATGACGACAGGTAAATGAAATATCAATCATGTCGGCTGTCAACCTTTTGGGACAGCAATAACTGTTAACAAGTAGTCTGGAAAAATTGTCCGAAAATGACTTGTCCTTGGCACCCAAGTATTTGAGGTTTCCGTGGAAAATTAAGATGCCAGTGGCTATTTGGAACATTGCTCAGGTATTCTTTTTAATGGGAAATTTGCCGGTTATTGATCCACAGCATGTACCCGTGCTTCTGGAAGGCTGCAAGCAACTTTCCAATCAGTGGCTGTCAAAAAAATTCCTGCCTTTTTATACGGATACAAGACAGGGCCGTGGTGGTGACTATAGTCAATGCTTCTCTTTAATTAACTGCTATGCACAGTAGGTTCCTACTTTGCCATGGTCCTAGAAATCAGGAAAAAAAAATCCTTATGCTTTATCTAACAAACTAATTATAGAATTGTCTGAAACCGGTGCTTGGGGTCAAGTTTGAAAACAAATGACCTCAAGTGTGAAGGGTCAGAACAGGTGCAATGCCTTTTCCCTACTATAAAACCTTGCATGCATGAAATTGACCTGTTTTTCAGCTTTATTTATTTACTTCACAAAATAAATTAAAAAAAAAGGTTTCCCTTTCATCTTAGCACTGTGCCAAATCAACTGGAAAACTATATATATGTTTGTAACCATTGTGAAAAAGCTAGGCAATCTCTACCCAGCTCTCTGTACCACAATTGACGGAGTCCCGCTGCAATGATACACCTGTTTTGATTAAGACTTTCTCAAACAATTAGTTAGGCTTTACTTTCACTTTTCTACAGTTCTCCGGAATCCAAGTGTCTTTTCTTCCGCTGACACACCAGGATAGAGTTGGACACACACACAGGGATGGGGAATAACCAAATGATGGTGTGAGCAACTGGGCACAAGTGACTTCCCAGCTCAGGGCTGCCGAGAGGTCACAAGGCCCCAGCCTGAGCTCTAGCTACCTCCTAGGCAAGGATAAAACCCGGGGCGTGTATAGTAAACTGGCACAGAGCACTCCACCCGGCCACTGGGCCACCAGGCTGCTAGTCCTGCTGTTGCCCAAGTAAGTGGGCAAGGCACTCAAGAGTTGGAGGGCTCATTCCTGGGAGCCTCACCATTGGCCGTCTCCTGACACATGGCACCAGTGAGGCCATGCCCTGCTGTGTCTCCCTCTGCTGGGCTGCAAGATGGGGTCCAGCCAGAGGAGTGCTGTAAGCCTCACAGAAGAAAGGGGCAAAGACCATGATGAAACCACTGCACAGCAAGCTGGAATTGGGTCTGATCCTCTGCGTCTCTGCAGTGCCGTCTTCCTTTGTTCTCTCCCATTTTTGGTTCTACACAATTATAAAACCATCTGTGACAGCAAAGACAAGAGACTGCCTTGACCAAAGAAAAAGAAAAAACAAGCAGCAACAGTGAAGGCCTATACCTCAGTCACTAAAAAGGCCACAATGTGGCCATCTACCATGTCTTGGCTTTTATCACTTCAACATATGCTCTATGTGTAGTAGGTGTCGACTGAAATGGGCCTTGACCCTGATTCTGCTACTTGAACGGCCTTCAGGAAGTCACCTAACCCTCCCAGCATCACGACTTCCAAAGCAGTGGAGATGTTCACTTCATCACCCAGGGTGACTATGGACTCTCAAATTAAACTACAGCAATAGCATTAACAAAGGGACTTTGTAAGCTCAAACCCGGAAAGTCCATCTCCCAACATTGAAGGAACACTAAGCCTGACACTTTCTACCTTCAAAGCATTCCAGCATTCAAAACACAAAGATTATGTATGGAAAGTACAGGACAGGTGCCAAGCTAAACCCAGCAGCAGCAATTATAAGGTGTGTTTGCTTCAGCTGTCCTTCGCATAAGCCATTACAGGCAGTAATTGCAGCAATAATCAATATGCTAACGGGTTAAAGATTAATCAGTTTTAAGATAGCTAATGGAATCTCCAGTGCCGGGCTCGGATTGGTTTCAGTCTGCCTGAGATGTTCTCTAAAACCCTTAAACAGTTTTAACGAGGATGTGGCAGAGTTTAGTGTAGCTACCCTGTAATAAAATTCATCTCCAACAAGGGGTAACAAGTACAATCAAGTACAATCTTGGGCTTTGTTTGTTTGCAAGTTTATCAAGTAGTGTTCCTGTTTGTTATGAACCCAGTTCTAACTAGAACAGCAAGATTCAATCAATAATTAAAGTTTTTCATGGAAATATACCATATTTAAAAAAAAAAAACCCTGAGTTCAAAGCAACACAGTTTAATATTACAAGGCTTTATTAGGAGGGGGACAACCCTCACTCCCCGAGACGCCTGCACATGTTAGGCCCAGCACTGCACACCCTCTACTCTGTTCATCTCTGTTTAACAGATGAGACAAATGACTTGCCGATGAACACAGGTTATGTGTGAACAAAGAAAAATGTTTATTCTAGCACATGAGCTCAAAACACGGAACTCACGCTTACTACTTAGGAATTAAAAAGGAGGTGGGTCTCGTTCCTCCTCTAACTAAACACAGGGTTACTGTACTGAGTAGATTGCTGAGCTAGTAAAGAGCTCTGGCTTCTTCACTCACCGCTCCCATGATGTGTGAGTTTAGCCGCGCTCCCTGGCAGAGGAAGCAGCACAAAGCCTTCTGCAATGACTGTCCTCGGGACCTCTGCTTTCACGTGGCCATACCTAGCACCCCTGGACTCCAGCTCCAGGTACCCCATTCTAGTTCCCGGTAGTGTCCCCCTTGAAGTGGGTGAGCCCCTGCGGCTCTGAGCAGTCCTCCCCTCTCACTGTGTCCTTCTACCACTTCGCAGGTTTCCATCACCCGAGGAGTCATGGGGACTAATTAGGACCTACCGAATCACAAATCTTTATTTCCAGCCTGTCTCTCAAAGGGTTTGGAGCACATCTAGTTGGCTACTAGAGCCTCCTCCAAACGCTACAATCCAATCTGAATTCCCTGCCTCTTTACCTCCCTCAGACCCCAGACTGGTTTTCTACCACTTGGGTTTACCAAGCCATTAAGTTCAGGTACCCATACAGATGTCTTGAATTGATCCGTACTGGCCACATGGATTTGTTCACTTGACCTCTTCCTCTCACAGATCTGCAGCCACTACTACCTTTGACCTGAAATAGCCCAAGCTGCTTCACTTCTGTGTTTTAGAATTTAGAACTCTTGTCCTGCAAGCCACACTCCAGAGAAATAAGCTGTGACCACATCACTCCCCTCGACGTCAAGCTCTGAGTCCTGCCATGTT